TCACAGCAACTAGACATCTTTCACTGCACATCCAAGTAGCTTCTTCAGTCTGAGGAGAATTGGTAGGAGATCCCTGATATGTCCTCCATGTTGGTTTTACTTCCCCCTTGTCTGAATAGGTTCGTTACCATCTCCTCCTACCAACTCTCCTCAGACTGAAGAAGCTACTTGGATGAGTAGTGACATGTTTCAACCTAATAAGAAAGAAGTCTAGTTGCCATGACTCAACTTCCAGATAACCTCACCTGAAAGACTGAGAATCTTCAGAAGTAAACCTCCTGCTTAATGAAATGAGTTTCAAGCTGATGACGTCAGCAGTTTCTTCATCAAAACCAACTTACTTCAATCCAAACATCTACTTGCAATGCTAACACAATTATCTTTATTTTGCAAATATCTGAATACATTGGAAAAAAGAGGTACACCCCAACAAAAACTTTGTGGAGCTTATGCATGCAGGTGTTTCACCATGAGGATCAAAACACACTGTATAAATGGTCTGTGATGGAACAACATTTCTCAGAATTTTCTTCATCAGTGTCAAAAGGCAATGCATATCCCAAAATGAGAACTTTGACCCATTTAAATAAGATCTTGATATTTTACTCAGTTTTCTACTGATAAATTACATTATAAAGATAAATAAATTAACTATTTGGGAGGAAACTAGAAGTGAGATTCCCTTCCTGTGTGCCTGCTGCAGTCAGAAGCATATGGATAAATCTCCTTTCAACTAGATTAACTTATTTCATTTGCAAAGCAACAGATAAAACGGAACAGGATACAAGCTGCATAAGGTCAGCTGGAGCCTGGCTTGTAACATTCAAGAGATTGTTTGGAAAAAAATGTTTAACAAGGCAGTTTTTTCCCAGTACACGGATAATCAGGAACCATTCAAATGGCAGTTAAGTGAATATCTTGATGTATTATTAAAGCTAATTTAAGAATAATATTGGAAAAGGCACATTCATATAAAACTAACTCTTCATATTATACACAGTTGTCTACATCTGTTTATTTAATTTAAATGCACTAAAGCAGTGGTTCTCAGCCTTTGGCCCTCCAGATGTTTAGATTTCAACTGTCAGAAGATTTAGGAGCATAGGTGATGGACAAGGATAATCTGGGGGTGTGTGTAAAAGATTAAGAACCAATGCACTGAAGAGTGGCCACAAAATTTGATTGATTTCACTAAAACTGAATCATATTGATTGATGCAAGTAATGAAATTTTTAAAATGGCATGCTTTGTATTAGCAAGAAGCATAGACAGGCATGTATATTATTGGCAAATACAGTTGCATCTGCATCTGTACACTATCACTAAGTTTATAACATGCACCCTTGCATTTTCTCATACTTTTCATTTATCTCAATATTCATATAAACAAATTCAAGGCTTGGGATAACACGCAAAGTTATCTGAAATGTAATAAATGAGCACCATTATGTGCTTTTATCCAGCAAGGGTGATACTCTTACACAATTATGCGTCCATGAAGAAGACTGCCTTTGACGGATGTGACACCCCCCCCACACACACACACAATGAAGTGATGCATGAACAGGAAAACCTGCATCCAGGAATATCACATAATGTTCCTGGAGTGTGTATGCACACTCCTTATTTGACACCGTTGGCAGTGTCCATTCTGGCTCTGGAGGGATGCAGAGAGGGCATGTTTGGGGAAGGGAATCAGTCTTCTGCCAATTGGTGACAAGTCAGTGTTGAGACCTGAAAGTGCTCACTCTCTCTTGGCCCACTAATACGTAGATCCCTGCATAACACTTGGCTGTTGCCAACGTTCCCTCAAATCTTCAGCCCTGCAGGGTGGGGCTCTGCCCCTCACGTGTGTGACTCCCCTCCCCTCCCCTCACATGACTCTGCCTCCCACATGGGGTTCCGTTGTGACCAGAATCAAAGGGGCTGGAAATGATCACTGCAGGTGCGTGGAGGAGCCCTGCACGAAGGGGATGGGGTCACGTAGGCAGCTGCACACCTTAGAGGGAACCTTGTCTGTTGCACTTTATGCTACAAACTGTACGGAGTGTGTTTCTCCCTCAAATGTAAAGCAAGAGCAAAAAAATACATGTAAAAACATGAGTGGAAATACCACATGGTACACATCAGTTATTTTTTAAGTCAAACAGAGACTTTGACACTGCTCCAATGTGTCCTGCACTATAAAACACCGGATTTTATGATAAAACCTGAATCCTTGAACATTGTTCTAAATATCAGGAAAAAATCTTCACAAGAGTAGTTGACATTATAACGAAGGATTAAAATCCCTGAGTAAACCAAAAGACACCAGTTTGGTTTGAGGAAACACAATTATTAAATAGGGCTAAGTAAAACAATACCATCATTTAAAAAGTTTAAGGCAGCAATCATGTTTGAAAGAGAATGTAATAAAGCAGAAACATATAAAACAAGATAAAAGGTTTGTAACAGCATGTACATGGAACTAGATTTAATCAGGCTTAGACCAGACTCCCTGAAATCAATTGGATTTAGGTTGGTCATGACTAACTTGTCCCACTGATACCAGTGGATGTACTCTAAAACATGGCGGTCTGAAGTAAACCCATAAGTATGGATACAACAAACAACTCCCTTTGAAAGAAAGATTTCTTCCGTCAGGTAGTGACTTTGGATCAACCATAGATTTTCCACTGACTGAAAGGGGAGTAGGCAGTGATCTTTCGGTTATGCCCTCCTATGCCCTACATACAGTTTCTTTATGTCCCTTGAAAATCTGTTCTGGAGGGTTGAGGGACCCTCCAGAATAGATGAGGTGGTGAAGCTCAAAAATGCAGAGATAATAGGAGTTGCACCTTTCCTCTTTCAATCGGAGTGTGATTTCTCAATAAAAGTCCACTTTGAGATGAATCTACTGGTGCAGCAAAAACTCTACATCCACAGCATGTTAGAATTTTAACAGAATGACTTTACTCTGAAATTGAATCTTAAATTTTATGTAGTCTTTTTAGTAAGATGAATTTTGGAATCCACCAAAAGCAGACTATTTTTAGTCAATAAAAATATACTAAAGTTGACTACTGTTAGGTAGTCAAGTAGCAAGCTGTCTGAGACTAGCACGTTAGGGGCTGATGCTTTGAGGTTCAACAATTCTCATTATGTTGCATTGACATTTGCTTCATATCGATTAATAAACTTCACTAATATGGTAAGATTTTAAAAACATAACATACTTTGTTTGGTGACTAAAGGACATGGGGCAAATGCTCCACTACTGCTGTTAGCAGTATCATCTTAGTTTTTCAAACAAAATCTTTAGTACTTTAGTGTCAAGGACTGCATTCATACAAAGAGATGGATCTTAAGTTCTCAAAAGCAGAGCCCTAGCTAAAATGAAGAAGGTAATTTTTGTTTGTTTCTCATACCCTGACAATCTGCTCCAGGTGACTGGGTGATCTCCCAGATCATAGATTAGGCAGTCCCAGAGACTGTGATAGGTGAAGGAGTTCTGCTGGATTAAAGACCCTTCCACACACCGAAGGCTTCCTTCTAAATTTGGAAGGCTACGTTAGGGATCCAGCTCACATTCTGATTGTTTCTTAACATGATTTTTCTCCAATTTTATTTTACGTTAATATTAGTTTCTTTAAAATCTCCTTAGTTCATTCTTTTCCTTAATGTTATGTTTCCCACATGGTAATTCCAGCTGAAGTTTCTCAAGTCAAAAAAGCCAAAGAATTATGTATCAATAAAATCAAATAACTTTCTGTGGAGCATAACATTCCAGAAGTGACATGAGAACTGAAATGTTAATAATGCAGCCTTTATGTCTCCATGAGTCAACTCAGATATCCAGCAGTGTTCTTCACATGTCAAGGATAACCCCCCCAGGCCTTGGAAACAGACACAACACAAATAAGATCATACTTGAGTTGGATGAACATACATACAAATACATTTGCAGTATGTATTCACCCAGTACTCACCACCCTTTCAACTTCTTGGGGCAAGAACAATGGCTATCAGGCAAACCAGGACTCTCACAAATACTATAGAGGTGAGAGAGCTGCACTGCTCTTGAGGTCTAGAAATTCTCCTCATTGTGTAAATTATGCTTCTAGTTGGGGCTATGTTTCAGTGGCCTTTTATTAAGGAGGCAGCCCTGAACCATTCCTCGATCTTTCTGTTTTTTAAAAAAACAAACGGGTTTTATATTTAGATATGTAGTGATACATGGAAAGAATATATTTCTAGGTTGCTACACAACTAATTGCTATTTTTCTCCCAACTGCACAGTTCTGAAGAGTCCAAAATACACTCAAAGCACTACATAAGGTGTTTGCCCTGATTTTGGCCACATCTGTAGCAGCTACATTGTATCCAAATATGATTAACTTACAGGTTTATAATAATTAGCATATGCATGACAATGCTTTTATGTCAAATTCCACAGATGGTCATACATGGCAGGTTTTTTACCTCTTTCCCTATCTTACTTCAATGTAGTTGAAAGTTAAATGAAGTAGAAAGCTATTAGGTTCATTAAATGGTATTCACAATTCAAAAGCTTTGAAATAATAGGTGCTGCCACAGACCCAAGGCAATCATTTCAATTACATTGAAATCAACTGAAAGTCATGCTTTTCTAATAATCTTTCATCCTATTCCCTTTACAGTACTGGATTAACAGTAACTACTAATACACATTATTCAGTATTTAGGGGCAACAATGCACATATCAAATACAGTACTACTGTGTTTTCCCAAAAATAAGACAGGGTTTTATATTAATTTTTGCTCAAAAAAGCGTATTAGGGCTTATTTTCAGGGGATGTTTTATTTTTTTTTTAATGTACAACAATCTACGGTTTATTCAAATACAGTCATGCCATCTTCTTCTGGTTGCTACACAATGGTGGAGGATGGGGTTTCACTTAACTAGGGCTTAACTAGGGTAGGGCTTATATTACGAGCATCCTGGAAAATCATACTAGGGCTTATTTTCAGGTTAGGTCTTATTTTCGGGGAAACGGGGCACTGAATACAGCACCTGACAATATGCCAGTCATAAAGCCAGCCACTGAAACAACACGCCATCTTCACTCAAACCTGCATCTACACATTTCCCCAAAAGGCCTAGAATTAAGTCAGTAACTAAAAACATTTTGCAGAGTAAAATGTTCCATTTATGGGTACATCAGCAGATGTAGAGGTACAGTGCAAATACAGGCTGCCAAGGAAAATGAATTTGACCTATACCTTAGGATGGATTAAGGAGGTTTAGAAAAACAAAACATTTTTAAAAGTTGAGAACCCTCCATTTTGTTTGAGGCACCGGAGCAGAGAAGTATTCTGGCCTGTCTCTAGTAGTGTACTGTGCAGAAGGAATGTAGTAGATTCCCCTTTAATTCTCTGCCAGGGCTGTGAGTGGTTTCAGGACAGTAAACCAGCACAATACTGCTGCACTGCATGAATTCTGCATAAGCTTCGCAGGACCTGCTCCCTTCTGATATTTATCCATTCACTCGTACCAGGGCATTTCTGTCCGTGGCCTTTTCCTCTTCTTTTTACAAAGGCAATAGATAGGGAACACAAATAAACCTGCCAAAAATAAAGGAAAATACAATGCATTAACATTGGTCTCTTGGCTGAATATATCTATTTCTCCATCAAGGCTAAATCCAGTGTCACACTAGTGTTTGTGCACCTCCTTCTCTCTCTGCAGCCTCCACACTCTCCAAAAGCTAACTCCAGAGGGATTTCTAGCCCTGTGGATACCTTGGGGGGGGGGGGAAGCAGAGTAGGGACTACTCCTCTCTCATTTTGCTAACAGAAACAGTTTTGCTCCAAGAATTACCCCACTGGATCCTAGACCTAGGCACAGTAACACACATTATTCTGTGCACACTAACACGGCAACTAACAACTTACATAAAACACAATCCAACACTCCCTTGCCAGACCTAAGATCTCAATTCTAAGAGACAGGTAGCACCAATGACTGGCTAAAAGCAGCTTTTAATCTTATATGTGCATTTCAGAATTTTGCTGAAATGTACTATCTATTGGAATTATGAGTTCTGCATCACTATCTTTTTAGTTCTTGTATCTACTGATATTTAAGATACCTGAATTACAAAGTTTGCTCCTGCTGCTATGAGCACCCTGAGTGGCTTTTTGCTCATGAAACAAGATTACATTTTATGACCCCACCCCAGCATATATGCTAAAAAAATGCGGGGTCAGAGAAGAAAGAATTGGCAAAAATAATCTCTGACTCTTGCTGACAAGAGCTTTTGAAGAATCTCAGCTTTTTCTATTAATGGAAACCTGACTAGGAACCAAACCAATATATTTGTTGTTCTGTTTATCTGTTACATGAACATTATGTACCAGAGAATTTTGAAATCTCTCACTTAGCTTTCTACCTTCTTGAGAAATATTTTTTCCACGGCCTCCCATTTGATCCCATTAAATTACATACTCACTTATCTCGAGAAACCTCAAACCCTTTCTTTCTCTTTTCTAAGACCTCCCCTTCTGATTATAATTTTTCTCGAATAAAAAAATACCTCATAAGTCAGAATAAAATCCTTCATAACTATCATATACAGTGGTGCCCCGCATAGCGACGATAATCCGTTCCGGAAAAATCGTCGCTATACCGATTCGTCGCTATACGGGGTGTATACGGAGTGCTCCCCCGCGATCATCGCAAAGCGAATTTTCCCCATAGGGGCCATCTCAAAACGATCGCTCTTGCGATGGCAAAAAGTCCATCGCAAAGTGATTTCATCGCTAAAAGGAGTGATCGTTATGCGAGGCACCACTGTAATACGTAACTGAGAACATACATTTCAGTCTTACCTATTATAACAGCTATGGCTCCTATTACCAGTCCCAAAACCAGGATCACTGGCGCAATAAGCAGCTTCCCACCTAAAAAAAAGAACGATAGATGAAATTTCATGAACATCTCCATATGAAACGAATGTTGATTACTATTACAAGGATACAAATTATTTATAAGTGATCAGATATTATAAATAAGTAATTATTCAACAACTGGGAAGGTTTTTTTCCCCCAGAAATGAACTTTCAATTGCATCTCTGGAAGACTGCACTGAATGGAGCTCTGGTTTGCAGACTGATAAGATTGTTATGGAACAAGAAGTAAGCTAAGGCTGAAAGTTCCAACCAAATATACAGTAATGCGGTTCTCTGGCCTAAACCCAATTACTAATCTCAACTAGAGAATATGTACTGGTTCAGTGGCTGAATAATGAATCAATGTTTATATAAATTGCATTGATGCAACTGTTCTAAGTAGTTGGGACAAACTACGGAATTCAGGCCATAAGTCCTGTAAAAAGTAAAGATCAATATTCAAATAGTACAATGAATAGAAGATTTTTACTCTCAGTGTTAATAACAACAAATTACTTTTTGGATTTCTGTAATACCTAATGAAACAGATTTTAGAAGTTAGCATTCCAAGCTCTGCATAGCAGTTCCAAGGATTCAGAGGCACTTGGACTTAGAAACCCAACACTGACACAGAGAGACAGGTATTACCATATAGCGGCAATGGTGAACCTATGGCACGCATGCCACAGCTGGCACACGGAGCCCTTTCTGCTGGCACGTGAGCAATAAGTCGCCGGATCGCTACTCCCCCCCGGGCAGCCAAACCTGAGAAGGTGGCTACAGCCGCAGTGCTGGCACTTCAGCAGGCGAATCTGGAGCAGTTGGTGCTGGTGGTGGATCCAGAGTGGAGTCTCGAGGCACCTCCATGCCAGGATTCCTCCTTCAGCTACCACTTCTGGTTCTGCCACCACGGTGGCACACCTGTCCCCCCGCCTCCCCAGTTTGGGCACGCGAGTAGACGCGAGCCTTTCTAACCATCAGGGTCATACCCATTACAATACAAGAGAAGTGCCTGAAGAGAGGATTTGGAAACATATAAACTAGCAGTGTATGTGTCCATGAAATGCAGATATGTATGTGTGAACTTAAATTTTTAGTGTTGTTTTTAAAATCGGAAATTCTTCCCACCTCAACAGAAATGGTCCCAAACAATAGAACTGCCGGGATCAGAATTCATTTGTCAATACTTTGCATTCAACTGACCATTCAGATTGATATACAAGAGGCAGGTTGCTTACCAAATGTATATTTAGCAAGCAAGAGGATGCCTTTTGAGAAAAACCCACTAATATTTCACTAGAGCTTAAGTGTTGTTGTTTTTTTTTTTACAATCAAGGTATCTCTTGCATTTCCCATCTATGCAGCAACATCAAAGTAGAGGGAAATTCATAATGCCTATACATTTCATTATGTATTTTAACACTAGACACAATTTAAACTGTATATAAAACATCACTTTCAATATATGTATATTTTCAGTAGTCTCAACTCTGGCTACATAGTTATACATATATTTTGCTGAACTAATAAGAGGATATTTCACTCTTTCACATGTTTTCATTGGTTCCACCAATTACAATGTATGAATCACATTGGGACCTGGATGCAGCTTCAGCCATATGGAATCTCTCGGCTGACTCTTTTAGCAGTGAAAACATCAGTTAAAATTGGGGAGGGAGCACACAATAAGGAAAAATACAGTGCATGACTTGTTTTGCCTCCTTATGCAGTACACAATTTGTCATGCAGCATGTGATCTACTATTTAATTCACTTAATTGGATTCAGATGATGCTGTAATGATTTAATACATTTAAGAGAGCCTCATTTTGCCTCTTTCCAAGCAGTCAGTGGATTTGCAATCCATGCCAGAACATGGCCAAATCTGGAACAACCTTCTCATCTCCCAAAGCAGCTGGATAGAACTCAACTCAGCTGCATTTTGACTTAGCTTCTCCAACAGCTTTCCTGTATAGTATTTTCTAGGCACATTAGGCCACAATTTTCAATGTATGGGTACAGCAGAAGATGGACCACATTGTAGAAACCAGGCTTCTCTTTCAATAACTTGCCTCAACCAAAACCTGTTATTGCAATTTATACAAAGAAGCTACGTTATACCTAAAAATGAAAGCCTCCATCAATAATTCAGTTAACACAACAGTAATTTTGTAACAGTACAGTCAGAAGATCCATTATGTGTTTTATTGGATTAACATATGCTCTATCAGCCTACGAAAAAACAAATGTAATTACCATTGTTGCAACTACCACCATTACTTCCTAGTGTAATAGACACGACATCTAGCCTTCCTAAATGTCGTGTCACCATCAATGTGACTCTAAAAATATGCCTTTTGCTTATTCTCTTTATATTTCAGATTTTAAGCATCTGTAGCAATCCTAATTATTTAGCCTATATTCAGAACATATCATGCAAAAAGCTTTATCAGATTCAAATGAAGACGCAAAAAAACTGATAGAAAAAAACCTGAGCAATATCTGAAGATACACAGATAACATATTACTGGCAGAAACAGCAATAACTTGAAATGACTCCTGATGAAAGTGAAAGAAGGGAGTATAAAAGCAAGATGACAGCTAAATATTAAGAAGATAAAAACAATGACTATGTACAAATTATATAATTTTAAGACTGACAATGAAAAAATAATTGTTAAAGATTTCCTATATCTTGGTTCAATCATAGGTCAAAGTGAAATTTGAAAATGAGTGAGACTTGGAAGGGCAACAACGAAATAGCTAGAAAAGAGTAAAGGTATGTTTGTTGTTGGAGACTAAGGCCAAGATCATCCATTTCATGGCATTCCTGACTATTATGTACAGATGTGAAAGCTGTACAATGAAGAAAGCTGGCAGGCAAAAATTGATTGATTTGAAACGTGGTGTTAGGGGAGATAATGTATACCATGGTGTAGCGTTCTCTATTTATTTGATCTATGGTCTATGTTATGTAATATAATGGTTTATGAATACTAATGTTGCAGAGAGGCGGAGCCGAGACAGATGCTATAAGAGGTGGAGCCTGAGTCAATATTTCAGTCAGAGAGTGTGAGATTAAGAGAGTTTTAAGAGTATGTAGAGAGAAGGAGACAGTGTAATAGGGAGTGTAGTTTTGGGAAATTCTGAGGAATGATTAACTACTGAAGATATTCATGAATCAATCTATGTATTCAATAAATCAAAGTTTTATTTAAAAGAACTTGAAGTGTGGAGCTGAGTCTTTCTGAGGTAAATGGTGATTTAGAGATCACCTGGTGGCAGCAAGTGGAAAGAGTGAGGTTTGGTTGCCTTCGTGTGCTCAGGGGCCTGAAGGTCAAGCAAAGGGGCACAAGGGTGGACGCCACACATGGACTCCCAGAAAGACAAGAAAATGGGTTCACATCAAGCTAGAATTTTCACTAGATAAAATTAAACTGAGGCTATCATACTTTTGTACATATGAGAAGCCAAAACTCACTAGAAAAGATAACAGTGCTTGGAAAAAGTTGAAGGGTGCAGGAGAAGAGGAAGACCAAATATGAGATGGACTGACTCAATAAAGGAAGACTGTGAGACTAAAACAGGGCTTTTAGTGACGGAACATTTTGGAGGTTCCTGACTCACAAAGAAAGGAAGATTGTGAGACTAAAACAGGGCTTTTAGTGACAGAACATTTTGGAGGTTCCTGACTCACAAAGTTGCCAGAAGTCGGAACATAAGAAATGGGAAAGTGCAGTACAAAAGACAATGTAATTCATTACAGTATAACAACATTGGCTGGAAATTCCCTTTTAGTCCTTTCTTAATAACTCTGAACCACACACAGGAAATCATCATTTAAATTTACATGATGGATTCCTCACAGTGTTCCATGTTAAATTGCTTCCTGTAATAGAATTTGTGAGTGTTAACCTTCTCAGACTTCAGAGATACGCACAGGAACAAGCTTGATATTAACTTTTGCTTCAGGCCTGTTTTCCATCAACATCTAATAAGATCTTTTTCTTATAATCCCAGTTTTAAAAAGCATACGACAAAAATGTTGGCCAAACTGCGCTGAATAATGTTAAACCAATTATTTAATTTACACGTTTTTGTCTAAAGATTTTAAATCAAAATACCCTGTTTTGAAACTTGTGTCTTTCTAAAAAAAAATTACTTCTAACTGGGTATTAAAAAAACCAAAACATACGAGGGTTTAAGCCCAAGGTTAAGGTTTATTGGACACTATTGCCATCCAATAAAGGTTAAACCCTGACCTGTTTTAAGCATACATTTGTGGTTTTGAATACGCAGAATAATTTTCTGGGCCACACAAGGGAAGCAGGCTCATTTTGTGCAACATGGTGGCAAATTCTACAAACCAAGTTCATTCATTTTCTTTTGGAAGATAGTCTTAACATAATACATCTGTCGGTTGAGGAAGCAGCCATCAGAGCAGCAAGCACCCCCTAAATGCCCCAGCTGCTGCTTACAGAATAGAAATAAAGTTTGGAGATGTTTTTAACCTTTGACCAGCCAAGCCTCCTGTTTCTTGAAAAATAATTAGTTTGCCTGAGATTTCTTGCATTGTTCAGAAAAATTCAAACTCAGAAATACACTTTAGAAACATTGTGGGAGCTAGATTTCTAGCTTATCTTCACTGTCTCCTGGTTCACTGTTGCAGCTTAGTAGCCTAGCAAGGAGGTTTGGTGGCTTTTTAGCTTTCGCAACCCTTTTCTGAAACTCTTTGTATGTGCACTTTCCCCATAGAGTTATTTTGTCTCTTTAACAATATCTAAAGAAGCAGTCATGTTAATCTATATCAGCAAGCTGGCAAAAGTAAAGGTGGGGCAAAGAGTGCAAAGGGCAAAATATCATAGCACTTCAGTAGACTTCACGGACGTTCACACTGAAACAAATCTGTTTGCCAAGGGTCCTACAGTACAGTGCCTTCTCTGCATTTTTTGTCTCTTTACCACTCTCTCATCCGTTTGAAACAAATGTTGCCAAGTTCTATCCCAACATCACTTTGAGAATCTGGAGTATTTACACCATAATTCCAAACAGGCAATTTCTTTTAACTGGATACTCACCAAATCCCAGCAGAAGATCTCAAGCAGTGCTTTCAGAAGCTTCTTCTATTACCTCATGTCTGGTTGACTTGTATAATGAAATCCATCTTTGTTGTACAGCAGGGGTCTCAAACATGTGGCCCACGGGCCATTTGCAGCCCGCCGGACAACAGTTTGCGGCCCCCGCCTTGCCTGCCCCCCCTAAAGCGCCCACGGGTCCTCTGCTGTCAAGAGTGAAAAAAAGCTCCACCTCGCTCACCGGCTCTGTCCCAAGACAGTGCCTCTTGCCCCCTCCATCCGGAACTGCAGTCTGCCAGCCAGCCCGCCTGTCTGCTGGCGGGCAGGCTGCAGTTCTGGATGTAGGGTGCAAGAGGCACTGCCTTGGGGGAGAGCCAGCGAGCGAGGCGCGCTGCCGGCCCTTTTCTCCGAGCGCCTGAGCCAAGCTGCCAACAGCAGCTGCCGCCGCCAACGCCTCTTCCAGGGAAGCGGCTCTTTGGCCCTCTTTCTCTCTTGGCACCCCCAGCACCAGCCTGGACAGCAGCCGTCTCAGCACATGGCGGTGCTTCCTCCTCCTCCTCTTCATCCTGCTTCACCCACCTCAGCTCTGGAGGCTGCCTGGGCTGGCCTCGCAAAGTTTGCTCCTCTGTCGTGGTGGGGGTAGCTGCTGCTGCTGAGTGTGCCTTTTTTTGAGGGGGACCCTCAGAGGAAGGTTGCCGGACCTCCATGTGTGTGTGTGTGTGTGCGCGCATGTGCGCGCGCACGTGCACCTGTGGGGGGGCCCAACCCGTTCTGTTTAATTTCGTAGGTACTGGTGGGGGCTTTTCTCTTTTGGCAAGGTGAATTCTGTGATGGTTTTTTTTTAATGTTGTGCCCTCCTCCCCCCGGCTAGGTGGTTGCCAGCATTCCCACCCTTCTCTGCTTCTTCATAGTGCTGCTGCTGGTGGTAGTGGTGGTGAAGAAGGAGCTGGAGGGATTCGTGGCTGGCGACGAGGGCTCGCGCCCTCTCCTCCTCCTCCTTGGAGCCCCAGCCGAGCTAAGGAAACTCCTGGGCAGCTTCCTCAGGCTCTTGCTCTGCTTAGCGGAAAATCTGATGCGGCCCAGCCTCACCCAGACTGTGCCTCCAGCGGCCCCCAGGTAAATTGAGTTTGAGACCCCTGTTGTACAGGCTGTGCTTGACTCCAAAATGTTTCTATGTGCCTAGTATAACAAAACCCTTCCTTCTGACACTACCACCTCATCTATCGTCTGGAATGTTCCTACTCCTCTGCCTGTCTAGCAGCTCCTTCCATGAATAGTTCAATCAATTTAACAACCTAATTATACCTTTTGAAAACCATACTACTAAGTTATCCAATATCACTGATTCTGTTATCACAGAGAGAGGGGGGTAGGGAGGGAGAGGGAAGAAACACAGTGTGGTCAGCCCTTTTATCACTGGAGTATTAAGATTAAGAAAGCCATTATCTAATTTTCTGATTTGTTGACTAAACTATCACAAACAAAGAACGCTGAATGATGAGTAAACACCTTGCAGACATCACAGAGTATCTCCAACCATCCTACTAAGAATTCGGTTTGGGTTAGGAGAGAGGGTTTGTTTTTATTGTCATTTTACAGTTGCTCTGCATTCACTTGACAATACAATCCTCCACAGGTTTACTGAGAAGTGTCTACCACTGGTTTCAATGGGACTTGCTTTCAAGACTGAACATGAATATAGCCTTTAATTAAAAGCTCAGCTGGAAAAGAATTTCGCCATGCCATTTTGTGGGATGTAGTTATTAATGGAAGGAGAAAACAGGAGGGTGGAGTATTTCATTTTCCCATTCATCACTTTTCAGGGATCACCACTGGTTAAACAACAATCCCTTAACACTCTTAATTAAAGAAACAGAGCGAAGAGATAAGTGGCACAAAGAAGAAAGCATGTTCCTTATTATTCTTAGACAAAACTGGCATTTGAAAATTGAACCCTGAGGGTATTTCCTATACCAGCCAACCTACGTAGGGCTCATTAGACTTTACACTTCGCATGCTCATTTCAATTTTAAAAGAGATGTGCCTGCACTAGAAAACAGACATGACAGCAGTCATGGGCTAATATGTCTACACAAATTATCCATATGGGCCACTCAGCCCATAGCTCACAATGCATAAATAAGCTCATCATGTTGTGCAACTCAAAGCTTTTTGTGACACCCAGCGCAGCTCCAGGCACTAGCATGGTAATGCTATAGTGTCAGGGTTCAGTTAGCCCATTCATGTGCAAAATCCATACAAAAATGGGCCATCTCAATATGGTAGCCCGCCCTACCATACACAAGCCATTAACATAGTTGTAAACTGGGAAGTTTTGGAATAACTTCCATTTACTTCAAGATAATTCTAGCTCCAAGCAGAATTTAACTGTACCAATAACGTGGTGGCGCTGTGAGCTAAACCACAGAAGTCTGTGCTGCAGGGTCAGAAGACCAGCAGTAGTAAGATCGAATCCACGCGACGGAGTGAGCTCCCATCGCTTCATCCCAGCTCCTCGCCAACCTAGCAGTTTGAAAGCATGTAATTGCAAGTAGATAAATAGTACCATCTCGGTGGGAAGGTAAAAGAGCGTTCCCTAGTCATGCTGGCCATGTGACAACAGAAACTGTCTTCGGACAGGCACTGGCTCTATGGCTTGAAAAGCGGGATGAGCGCCGCCTCCTAAAGTCGGACACAACTGGACTGAAAATGTCAAGGGGAACCTTTACCTTTACCTATCATAAGAATAATTATTATTAGCAAGGAGAAAGAAGAGGGCCTTCTTAAACTAACAGTGCAAAGAAAGAGAGGAAAATAATAGAAAGCGAAAAACCAGAGGTCTGTTCATGAAAACTAGAGATATTAAAGGAATAGTTCATGCAAAGATGAATAGCAGGGACCTCAAAGAAGCAGAAGACATCAAGAAGAGGTGACAAGAATACACAGAAGAATTCTACCAGAAAGATCTGGATGTCCCAGACAACCCAGATAGTGGGCATTAGAAAGAATGGCTAGTCAATGAAGGCCAGTGAAGGTGATGGCATTCCAGTTGAACTATTTAAAATCTTAAAGGATGATGCCGTTAAGGTGCTGCACTCAATATGCCAGCAAGTTTGAAAAACTCAGCAGTGACCAGAAGATGGGAAAAGATCAGTCTACATCCCAATACCAAAGAAGGGCAGTGCCAAAGAATGCTCCAACTACCATAAAATTGCACTCATTTCACACGCTAGCAAGGTTATGCTCAAAATCCTCCAAGGTAGGCTTCAGCAGTATGTGGACCGAGAACTCCCAGAAGTACAAGCTGGATTTCGAAGGGGCAGAGGAACTAGATACCAAATCGCTAACATGCGCTTGATTAAGTAGAATGCCAGAGAGTTCCAGAAAAACATCTGCTTCTGCCTCATTGACTATGCAAAAGCCTTTGACTGTGTGGACCACAGCAAACTATGGCAAGTTCTTAAAGAAATGGGAGTACCTGACCACCTTATCTACCTCCTGAGAAGTCTGTATGAGGGACAGGAAGCCACAATTAGAACTGGATATGGAACAACTGATTGGTTAAAAATTGGGAAAGGAGCACGACAAGGCTGTATATCAGTGGTGTTGAACTGCGGCCCTCCAGATGTTATTGGGCTTC